TCCCAGTGTCACAGCTAATTCATTTTTAGCAGCACCAATAGAGAAAGTAACAATGGACAGACAGAACAGAGTTGGTAGAATCGAATGGCTTTTGGGCTCAGTGTGTAACCAAGCAGGTTACACTGCTGGGTTACTCTCTCCACAGGAAGAGAGAATACGTTTCCAGGGCTCAACGTCAGTGAGGATCTGAGCTGGTCACAAAAGCAGTGAGACAATAACTCTTCCTTCTGCGGCTGCTGAGGAGGTTTGAGGAAATTCTATCAACACGACATCAAGAGTATTCTCTCTGTATCGTGACTCTGCATTGGATGGTCAGATCAGCCCAATGTATCACCAGGTCTGAACTGCCAGCCATCCAGGACTTCTACAGACAGCACTGTAGGAGGAAGGCTCAGCAGATCATCTTTGATCCCAGCCACACACTATTCACACACCTGCCACTGGGCAGGCAGTACAGAAGCATCCAGACCTACAGCAGCAGATTCAGTGACAGTTTCTAACCACATGCCTTCAGGCTTCTGAATTGTTGAAATAACGGACAGTTTGAACACGATAGTTCACATACTATCGTGTTCGCAGATGATATTTTACGCAGTCATTATTAGGGATGGGTATTGTTTAGGTTTTATCCGATACCGGTGCCAAACCGGTACTTTTGAAACCGTGCCGGTGCTTAAACGGTGCTCGAACCGGTGCTTAAATAATGGAGAACACAAAATTGGTCCAAAAACCTCTCATGTTCAGCTGTTTTTTTTGTAAAAAGATAACAATGTTAGCCTTTTCTGCAGCTATACGACATATATGGTATCACTCTTGGCTGGAAGCAGTGCTTAAACAATGGAAAAAACACAAACTTTGTCCAAAAACCTCTCATGTTTAGTTGTTTCCAACTTTTTCTTTGGTCATTTTAGCCTTTTTGGCCAGGGTGAAGGGAGTATCTGCCATCAAACAAGAAGACAGCCGAATGTAACTATGACGTGTTTGCTAGTTCACCTTACATGCATTAATGTAATAACGTGGTTAGCCTACTCAACGTAAATTACACACGAACAACATTAAGCTACTCACGCAGAGAAGAACGGCTGCTGCTGCCATCATCATCCTCATCATTTCTGCTACACTGGCAGGGCTAGGGGCCAGGACTCTCCTCTTCGGGTTTTTGGGGGATGTTGCTAACTCAGGGTCCGATAACAGGCACCACACCCGCAGTAGATGCGCTCGGTGTGAGGTCTCGCAGCAAGCTATCAAATACGGCACATTTTTCGGCTTTAAAAAAACGCTATGCGTCGCCAGGTGTTTCATCGGATTCGAGGAGTTACCTCCTTTGACAGTGTCACAGTATCACCTTAAAGCACTTGTTGCAGCTGCTGAGTTTGCATCTTTTGCTGTGAAGTACAGCCAGACTTTTGACCGCTTCGCCTTGGGCATTTTTAATCTGTAGCTCTGCTCTAAAAGAACGTACGTACCTGGGCCCGCCTACTATCCTCGGAAACGTAAAATGATTGGCTAGAATCTAAAGTGTATCACAGCTCAGGAAAAAAAAGCACCGAAATAAAGCACCGAAATGTGCGCTGCTTTTCGGTCTGGTTACTACCGTTTATGTCAGAACCGGTGCCATCATGGCACTGGATACTGGTACCCATCCCTAGTCATTATACACACTGTACATGTACACACCATTACCTCTGCACTAAAGCTGCTAAGGTATTTTAGTAATCTCTAGTTATTCTACCTCTGTGGGGTTTTTTTTATTTATATAGTGTTACTTAATGTGCAATATTTGCTTCTTTACAATATTGAGGGGGCTCTGAGTCTAAAAATTATAATTGTCCGTAGTGATTTGCCATTGTTACCTGTATATGACAATAATAAATCTTGAACTTGATAACAGCACGATCAGGAAAGCCATACAACTCCACTGGACAATAACAGTGCCCCCCCCCCCCCCTCAAAAAAAAAAAAAAAAAAAAAACCCAGGCGAATTCTAGATGCAAGTGAAACTGAGTTAAAGCAAAAGGTGTCTGTTTGTCGGTCACATTGCATTTTATGGTCTGAATTTCCACACATTCTCATGCACACACACTCATACAGTTTATAAGAGTTGATGCTCACTCAGCAATTTCGGCTCATTCAATGTTCTGTGCAGCCAGGTGGATGATTGTGTCTCTGATTGATACTCTATTTCACTGATGTCAATCTCTAGAAGACTTGTTTGATTGAATTAATAAATAATCTGTAAGTGCACAGTTTGGGTTTTGCAGAGTTCATCATATGCCACCTTTGAAAATGTAACAGCTCAGGGAAGCCATGCACCAGATACTGGCATTGATGGAATTAGTGTTGTTATAAAATTAACCCCTGCAAACAAGTTGCGGTCTGACCTCCGCCGACTGAAGTTTATCGCCACTGCACGCTAGGGGTGCTGTTACACAATGCTCGTCTTTACATCTGTCTGGGCATGAGCCCTGTTCGCCTTCACATGTGCCCAGCGGTATTATGTGATCACTTCAGACAGAATGTTCAGCCGACATTTGCCTCAGCGTAGGTGTGCAGTTACATAAGAGGGAGAGGTGAGTGCAGATCTAATCACTTTATGGAGGTGTTTAACCAAGCTCCTTGGGCAAAAGGATTCATAACCTCGGTGCCAAACCAGCTTTCAGGGATAACAGTCCCGGGGATTGTTATGTGAGAATCTGGAGAATCAGTCTTCTGGAGAGTTGTCTTGAAATAGTTCACTCATTGTTTATTTCACTAAATAAACACTTTATGCGCTGCTATGTTTCCCATCAGCAAATATCATGCTGCCAAGTTACATAAGCTAGTCTCCAGGACAAATGCCAGGGGAAAACCTCACAACGAACACCTCAAGGTTAGATCCAGGTTATTCCAACCCAGTAACAATCCTGCTGTCACAAGGATTCTGACGTCTTAATAGAATGCTGAAATATAATCTTGTACAGGGGAACCACAGCTGAGTGTCAAGGTGTGATTTTCTCCCCTCCCTGTGTAGAGTGTAAATCCAAAATTGTGCTAAGCTCATATTTCCCACCCAAACTGGTGTTTTGACAGAAAAAAGCTGCTGTGTTGCCACATCAGGGATTTCCTGTAATATAATATTGATCTCTTCGGAAAGGTTGGAGTCCATCCAGAGACTCTAGGGAATCATGGGATATGTTGTTTTGAGTCATTAATGTTCTAGGCGATGCCCCTCGCAGGGTTAGGTGTGTGTGCACAAGCACAAACTCAGCAACCAAAGAAGGACAGCGGGTTTTTGTGTGACTGTTAAGAACTGTAGGTCTTCAATAAAATCTTCAGAGTGGTTATTTGATACCATTAAGTAGTTTTGAAATACTATAGTTAGAAATTGAATCGCTAGCAGCTGAACACGTGAACAATAGCCAGTGTTCACAACACTGAACGTTGTTTCATGAGGAATTACGAGAGGTCAGAGAATCTCCCATTTCAACAACACTGAAACATTAAACAGTTATCATAATCATTAACCCAGCCAGCAAAGACATTAATGTTAGACTTTTTACTGTTAGCAGCTATCCAGTAGCCACATTAGCCATCTATTAAGTTATCATCGGGTAGCGGTTAGCAGCTATGGCTAACAATAAAACTATAACATTAGAGTTAGGTAGGAAATATCCTTTCCATAGATCGAGCGTGTTAATTTAACAGGATAATTCAGTTACAGTATTTGTGCCTTAAAGGGTGTTAAGTTTCTCTTAAAAACCATGATTGAAGCTGAGAAAAGTCAGACCAGCAGATAGACAGAAACAAACAATGGCTAACTTACCAACGACAATCACCAGAAGTTCTTCCACACGCTACAGAGGGCCCCAATTTTTTTAAAGGAATATATTTTAAAATTATTGTAAAATTGTCAAAATGTCTTGTTTCTTCATACTTCAACCATCCAATCAACTGAACGACACCAAAGAAGAGGGAGTAGCGGATTAAGCTGTTTGGCATTTGCAGAGAAGATTTGGGAAGTTTTTAATAGGTGCAACCCACATCTTTCAACCAACAACTCTGCTGCTCAACTAACAAACGTATTCTCCTCACAAGTGTCACCATTTAATAGGAAATAAACATGACTTCCAATGGTTTAAGAGTTGTTGCTAAAAAAGCATTTTTACAGCAAAAAAAATCATCTTGAAAGCTATTTGAAAAGTCAGTGATTAATGAGGATTTTTAATTGTGTAAAGACGTCAGCCTCTGCAGATGTGCATGCATTAGAAAGCCTGTCTCCCCTTGAGCGATATGGCGGCAGCATTGACACGTTGTTCCCATGAACAGCTGTGACCACTGTGACATCAAGTCTGTGTGGTGATTGAACTGCCTGGATAGAACATTTAGGAGACATCACATGACATCTACTTACTAGTGATAAATACACCAGAATATTAGCTGCTACGGATTCTTCCAACAGCACATGGACCCAGCAGGTTAAAGACCCTTTAATGTTTCATTGAACTTTGTTGGAAACTTGCACTCTCACATATACCTACATAATTCAGGGTGTTGTGCCTGAAACTGAGAGCACAACATGCACACTTACAGTGCAGTGTGTATACTCACAGATGAGTTATTCATAAGCACATAAGGCTTACAACCTGAAGGTCAGAATGATTGTAAGCAAAACAATTAAAAGCATGTCTTTGAAGAGCTTAATCAGTGCCAGAGATCTTCTGTGATATATTATGCAATGAGAATGAATCCCATTTGGCTGCCGTTCCCCTAGTCCACCTCGCCAAGTGTGCATGCATTTTCAGCCTGATCGATCCTGGTGCAAATCAAACCAGAAAGCATGGCAGGGTTGTCGTGCCTCTGCGTGCTCTCAGGATGTTAATCTGTCTTACCAGGAAGATCCCTTTTAAACACACTTTGACATGGAAGCAAGGGAAACTCCTAGAGGTGCATGTACTGACTCAGGCATGAAATAGAACCCTTGTACAGCAGCAATATCTAAGAGTCTGTCCTCCTTTACTTACAGAAGGAGCTGCTTTCGTCCTTTGTGCCTTCCATGGTGCCATCCGGCAGCATCTGGAGGTAGAAGCCGTGTCTGCAGTAGAGCCGCGTGACAATGCCCTTCAGCTGAGGCTCTGCAGAGCAAACACAATGTTAAACACGTTAACGTCCGAGAACACACATACACTCTCATCAGGTGACATATATTAATGCACACGGCTACCTAAGAGGCAGGTCTTAATATTTACCCAGCGACACAGTCAAACAGTGAAGTGTGTGTACTCGTATATGCGTGTGTGACTGTGGCCTTCAACACGATTGATGGGACCTCGGCGTTGGGTAAAAACGTGCATCTTTCAAGCGAGGGAGGCAAGCTGTTCAAGATGCTTTATTCCGTGTGCGTTTTTGCATTCGTGCACGAGAGGCCTCGCAGCAGCACGTCACTTCAAAAGGTGACCACTTCTAACACGCGTAGAAAAGTGTTAGAACTTCAAGGTCAGCTGTTTGAGGAATACTAAAGGAAAACATATCTATGAGAGCAGGATTATTAATTTTTTATTAGTATTTTTGTCAAAATTTTGTTTTAGACGTGTAGTAAATTTCACTGAGCTAAAGCCTTTGTGGTATATCAGCCCGAAACACTAATCTTGTTGTTGACTAGAAGCTGTAGCTCCTTGGGTGGCCACTCAAAACTGCTTCCTAGCAAGTTAATCCCCACAGACCCACATATTAAGTTAAATGTCACCTGGTATGCTGTTGGTCTGTTATTAATCGCTGGATATATGTGCACTTTACTTACCTTACCGTTAAATTTACTTTAACTCTCAAAGGTATTTGTTTTAGTTTGATATTGGAAAGCACTGTTTGCTAGCAGTGGTTGGTGCTGATCTCCCAAAGTGCAGGGTAGGATTAGACAAGTTACTAGATCTATCCAAAAATTCCACATCTGGGGTTTTTTTTGAACGTTTATTGCTTTGGAAATTTAAATTCACTGGTTTTTGCAACATGACTGACAGTCGGCAAGGAACAATCTCCCTACATTTGTTTAGCCTGCTCTCAACTATGAGCTGTATTGGACCAGCTGTCGCACTACAGATAAGTTGGCGTGTCTTCAGCTCTCCTCAAGCGCTCTGTTTCCTGCCTTTAACTGACTCACGCATGACTGAGGGCACTTTTTCGGTCCGAAGTGCTGAGGGAGACTAAATAGTGGATCAAAAGGAATGTCGGGAATGCTGAAGTGTTTCCACAATCAACTTTTAATGAGGTGCATCAAATATAGATGAGGACAGAGAAGTATGGGGGCAGCTGGCAGTTGGTCCTCAGTTGACAGCAGGGGTGTGGTGTGTGTGTGTGTGTGTGTGTGTGTGTGTGTGTTTAAGCACATGGGAAACAATGATGTAACACAAACAAACCTCGCTGTTTTTTTTATATTTTCAGTAGATATTTCAGCCTGTCATAACTACTGTTTACAGTTACAGAGCACTAAAGCGTTTTGAAGTAAGAGCTGAATAAAGAAAAGAGGCACAATCTTTTTGGTCCAACACTAATGGATTCCTAAAAAAAACAGGAAAGCATCATATTGACACAACTGCCTTAGATACATCCTCTAACGCTTGGAGCATTTTGACACTTGTAGTACATCTGCGATCAAAACCGATGCAGTGTGCGACTGAAATTATTTGTTTGCTTTGTGACTCGAACATCTTTCAGGAAATCTATGAATTGAAGCTGATTACTTCTTAAATGTTCAAGCCCCACTATATCTGTGAATTAGTCAAAAGACTTGTGATGTGTAATCCTTGCTTTCATGCTGACAGCGTGACACAACGTGTTTGTGAGCTTTTCATTAGAGGCTCCGGCCTCAGCGGCAAGATTGAGTCGCTGTAACTACTAAAAGATAAGAGCTCATCCATCCAACGCTGGCTGACTAAACACAGAAGGTCAAACGCAGAGCGAGGTAATCTGTAATATCCTGAGTGTTAATCCCAAATTAAGCTTCAGCCCACACACCAGGCCATGTGCTGCTTAACACATCTGTTACAGGGAAGGGCAGAGCCCGGCGACAAACGGGCACGAGGTGGGAGGCTGACGCTGACCTTTTGCGTGACTCTGCCTCCGTGTGGCGATTTGGTGATGATGCTGTGTTTCGAAACATAGGAAGTGCTGCTTGGACACAAGGAGACTGCTGATGCATGTGCAGAGCAGAGATACTGTATTCACACACACGTAGAGCATCGCTTGAGCTAAAATGAGGAGAAATTGCCTTGAGTCATACCTCGGGCAGGATGTTAGTTAAACCGAGAGTTTAAATACACACAAACACACACACACACACACACTTAGAAACAGATCCAGAGTGATGCTGCAGAAAACATTTTTTATAATATTTAGAAATTAGGGTTTGCATTTTGTCTTTAAAATAAAATTGAAGTCACTGAAGCTGCATTTGTTTGCAGTTCAAAGATTCACCCTGATACCGAAGACAGTTTATGCAATCACACATTTAGTTTTTGAAACACTTCGTCTTGGATCGAGTTAAGAGTCGAAGGAGGAATGTATCACGCGCTTATAATGGCTGCACTGCATGCCTGAGGGAATTTAAAGATTACACTCAGCTGATAGCCAAGCAGCTGATTAATCAGCAAGTGGCTGTAAAGTTATTAAAGGGGACCTAGTTTCTGTCATAAATATACTGCTATAGCGCTGCATGCTCATATTAAAGATAGTTTCAAATAATGAGGTCAGTCTATGTACAAGTGCTCTCAATGATTCAAAAGCTCATGCTTCAGAAAGTTTTTTCTACTTTTGGATCTGTGTGACATCAGCGAGAAGGGGTGGTTATCTCTAACGTGGTCATTTCGACCGCAGCCCCACAACCTACAGTTCAGCCAGCAGAGAAGATCACATAAAGTTGGTTCAGACAATGAGTGAACTGAGGGCCTGCACAAAGGCCCACAACAAGAAAACATAGAAACGGAAATGAGCACAGTAAATGAGACAGACAAGTCAGCTAATAAAGACGTAACTTCAGTTCTCTGAAATAATCCTCTGACGTCAAAAGAGAAAAATGAATAACCCTGGGGCTGTGATTATAAAGAGTTTAGTTTTGTTATTAAAAATGTTTCTTTTTGTCTGTTTATGAGAACATTTTCATGTCAGTCCCCAACTTTCTCCCTCATTTCCTGTCTCTCAGCAGAGCTCCCATCAAGCTAGGACAAAAAAAAACAAGCTTGCATCACAACTTGTCCTCATTGGTGCAGTGTGCTTCATTTAACCCAGACCAAAGGAAAGATATAAAGATATGAATCATATTCCCACTGATGTTTTATAAACAAAGTTATTAAGTAATGCAGCTTCCTTGATGTAATCCTTCATCCTCGATGCCTCATCAGGACCCTCATGACTCACAGCGGATCACGCTGCTCTTCCTGTGCTTTCCACTCGTGCTAAAATCACACATCTGCTATCACATAACATCGTGGTTTTCTTTTTGCTTTGAGACTGCGCCACAGTAAACAAAAAGACATTTGGAAATATAGTCTCAGTCCAGTTGTTTCTCACCAGGTTCCAAGTGGTAGCTATCTCACCTGTCCAAACAAACCAGTCAGGTGTGAAAATGCTTTTAGTCATCTGCAAAGCTCTAAAAACACACACTTTATAGCATCTTCTAGTCCCTTTATTAATTTCCTTTGTAATGCAGACTATCTTTTAGAATTTTTTTCTCCCCCAGGACATCTTCACAGAGCCTATACACAGCTGATTGCAGATGTTTCACGCAGGTCACAGAAATATGAAAACAAGTGGTGTGTGGGCTCTTCTTGCGTGAGCCATTGTTTGTCCTTCCTCCAGTTACAGAGAAAAGTCATAACCTATAAAGAGCGAAGTGTGTTCAAATCAATGAAAATCATCCACAGCAGCCATTGTTGTCTTTTCACCCTTTTGCCTCTTTGTGGTGAACTCCAATGTCAGTTCCTTTCCCGTTCAGGCCAGCTTTTTAACCAATCAGCCTTCAACCTAAGATTAACATCCCCGTTAAGCTACTACTTAGGGTTTTGTAGGACTGCAAGCAAACACTTTGGCAAATCCTGCATACGGTAAGTGGTACCACTTGTCCAGGACTGGGTTCCTGGTGAGTTGAGGGCAAAGACTGAATCAAGCTTGGGTTTAACTGAAGGAGACATTTTTAAAGCTCCTACTGACATCTACTTGTTTTTGTTTTTGTTTTAATGACAACTCTGCTGAGTTTCCCTTGGAGTTCTATTGTTGGCAGTGTGGAAAAGCCTCTTACAGCTAAAACAAATTCACGCTTGTGCGGACAGCAGTCACACTGTCCCATCAGAACGTATCCCCGGGAAAATCGCAGCATTAGTCGACAGATAACAGAGTTTGCGAATCATATCCTGCAGCGCGAGAGCATGTGGCTGTGCGTGTGTTTATACAGACGAGGATTTGTGCTCGTAATCCCACAGACATTCAACGCCAATTATGGAGTGACCTTAATAAAGAGCGGGATTAATTTCACTTATTAAGAATTTCAACCATCAAAGTCACCCTGAACCCTCCAGCTGCCCGACGCCTCGAGTCAGATGACAACTGGGCAGTAGCTAGTGTTATTTTCACGGCCATTACACACTGCAATTCTTAAAGTTTGTGTGTGTGTGTGTGTGTTTTTGACAGCTCCAACAGAATGGACTTGGCTGAAGAAGCAGAGATGGTCTGCCAAGGATCGTGTCTGTCTTTCAGTCATCACACACACACCAGACACACACAGTAGAAATATTTCTCTCTCCTTGACTGTCTTTCCCATCTTAAGTGTCCGCACAGCATAAGAGTCCCATCTACACTGGTCAATTCAAAGATTTCTTTCTAACTTTCTGCTCTTTTTCTTCTCTCTTCTTTGAGCACCCCTTTTTTTCCTGCATCTTTGCTTTTCTCTATCTTCACTCACCTCATCCCAAAAAACTGCATGCCTAGCCTGCAGGGAAATCCTTACTTTTGCTGTTTTTAAATAGTGAAGCAGTGAGAAGAGGGGGAACAGCGCTTAATCGGCAGCAGAGAGTGCTGAATGACAAACTGTCACTCAGAGGAAGAGGAGCGGGCAGGAAGAGGAGTTAGATGTAGCGAGGCAGACATG